CAGTAATTACCTCTTATAATTATCTCACTGAAATACCGTGCCAAACGCACCAGGCACAGCATTCCGCCTGGTCACATTATACTGACGACCGGTGAACTAGTTGTTGCCATTACCCGTAATGGTGAACATTAAGCAGTTAATAATAACTTCCTGTTTAATGACTTTGGTATGTCCCGGCCTGGGGAAATAACCCAGTGCCTTCCTAACCTGGGAGAACGTTCAACAGTAAAGCCAAAATATTCACGGATGAGAACCGGTATTTACTCAATCTTTCACGTGGCAGAAAGCTAGTGTATCACAAGCGAGGTGAATGTTATTAGGACGTCTGCAAGTTATGGTGTGGGGTGGGATATCTCGCTTCGGCCGCACATGCCTTTTTTTAATTGTTTTATTTTTCCAAATAAATCATCAGCATTAAAGCAATCAACACACCATCATACACTTCCATTATCATAATAAACATCATCTTCATCTATTCTTCATCTTCATCATTAGCATCTCTCGATATATATATCTATTCATATTTCGCATCATAAAACCATCGCCACCAGTCATCATCATCCTCATCATTATCAATGTCATATCACCTTCATCATTCACATCAATATCAATCATTGATCACATCATTATACTCCTCAATCAACTTTCTACATTCATCATCATCATCATCAACAATGTCATATAACCTTCATCATTCACATCAATATCAATCATTGATCACATCATTATACTCCTCAATCAACTTTCAACATTCATCATCATCATCATCATCAACAACTTTCCTCATCAACTTTTTCTATCCTTATCATTCACGTCAATCAATACATCATACATTTCAACAATTAACTTTCAGCATTCCTAATCATTAAACTATCATTATCATGAAAAGTATAATTCATTCATCTACGCCATTATCATTATAATCAATCCTTGTCAACAATAATACATCATCATCCTCATCAATTATAAAAATCATCATCAATATTATCATTGCTGACCTAAATTTCATGATCATCAACAACATCCTCAGTTTTTTATCAATATTATCCTTATTAATTATCAAATCCAATTAAATATATATTACTGCTGATAATTTATACATATTTGTATAAAAACAAAAATATAATGAAATATATAGACATACATCCTCTTTCACCACTCCGCACATATACTCACCCACACAGCTGCACATACTCACAGAGAGAGAGAGAGAGTGAGAGAGAGAGAGAGAGAGAGAGAGAGAGAGAGAGAGAGAGAGAGAGAGAGAGAGAGAGAGAGAGAGAGAGAGAGAGAGACTGTGCCGTAAAAGTAAATGGAATCAATAGAGCATCTAATACAAATTCAAAGTTCTCAAAAAATGTCTGAGTAATTCTCTGCACTCCCAAAATAAATGAATAATTGTTTCTATTTCTGTTTTACAAAAGGAACAGTGTGGACTATCAGTTAAACCAATTTTGAATAAATATGAATTTGTTGTTAATATGTGTTGGTTTATTCTGTATTGCAGCCAATGTAATTTGGAGCTTTAAGTAACTCGGAAAGGGGTTGCATATATACTTCTCCAAGTTTCTTCATCTATTTCAAATATGTTGTTCCACCTTCTTTACCGGTAGGAAAAGTGTTATATCGACAAAGTATATTGTAGAAATCTTTCGACCCTTTCCTGTTTTTCATGAAAACTTCTAGATTAGTCGGTAGTAATGGGTAAGAGATGATCTCATCATATAATCGTATATGTGCTGTATATTCCCTGATGAGTTTTACAATGCCATGGTAAGTTAGGAAGTTAGATTTGATATTATATTTTTCCTTAACATTTACAATAAAACATTCATTAAACCAGATAGGTGTTTTCAAAACTGAATCATTCCCATTTACCAAATTCTGTTCTTTCTCTTTAAGACAACTCCAACATTTAAACACATCTTTCCAAAACTGGATTTTACACTTCATTTTACATTCTTTTATGTATCCTTATCCACAGCTAGCCAAAATGTCTAAGTCAACATTTGTTTCTATGATACTTTGCCATTTACTTAATTTAGAATATAATCTTCTAATCAATGTTAACTTCAGTGCTCTAATAAAATAATGTAAATCTATTATTTTCAGACCTCCTTCATTATAGTCTTTTATTATAATATCTCTTTTTACTTTGTCTTTACTTTAGTTGTAGAGTTCTGAGTTTAGTCTTTTAATAAAGGATAAGTCTGGATTTGGCAAAGCTATGAAAAAGTGTTTGCATTGTGACACCAGAAATGATTTGATTATGTGTATTTTACCAATAGGAGTAGGTTTCCTTTTATTCCAGTCATTTAAAAGGGATTTAAGTTTAACTTTTTTTCTGTAAAAAATCATTTTTAACATTCTATGTAAATCTACATGGAAGTCAATACCCAAAATAGTATTTCTTAGGTCACCTGAGCTTTAGCTCAAGTGACCTATTGCTATTTGTTTTCGTCCGTCGTCGTCCGTCGTCCGTTAACATTTTACATTTCAAACTTAAAGTCAAGTTTTGCTGGGCCGATTGAACTTAAAGGTTGTAGGAATGATCGCCTCATGGTCCTGACAAAGGGTTGTTATTTTTTGATTCGATCAGAAATCCAATATGGCCGCCACGGCCGCCATTTTGAAAAACTATTTCAAACTTAAAGTCAAGTTTTGCTGGGCCGATTGAACTGAAAGTTGGTAGGAATGATCGCTTCATGGTCCTGACAAAGAGTTGTTATTTTTTGATTCGATCAGAAATCCAATGTGGCCGCCACGGCCGCCATTTTGAAAAACTATTTCAAACTTAAAGTCAAGTTCAGCTGGGCCGATTGAACTGAAAGTTGGTAGGAATGATCGACTCATGGTCCTGACAAATTGTTGTTATTTTTCGGGTCGCTCAGAAATCCAATATGGCCGCCACGGCCGCCATTTTGAAAAACTATTTCAAACTTAAAGTCAAGTTTTGCTGGGCCGATTGAACTGAAAGTTGGTAGGAATGATCGACTCATGGTCCTGACAAAGTTAAGTTAACATTATACTATTTTTTACTCAAATTGGTACATATTTCAACAACAAAAATACATACTGTAGACTCATGTGACCGTTAAGGCCCATGGGCCTCTTGTTCTGTTCCCCCAATGTAAATTCCATTCAAACGTTTTCTTCACTGTATTTCATGCTTCCTATCCAAATGGCATGCCTTGGTATCGTCGACGGTAGCCTGGACGCTCAACGTTATGGGAGAACATCTTAGTACCAAAGAACGTTTTATTCATGGTGACAAATGGCAGGAAGTGTCCATGTGTACCGCATCAACACCAACTTGCTTCGTCAACACAACACCAATGTGCTTGATTGTCTTCGTCAACAGAACACCAATGTGCTTGATTGTCTTTGTCAACAGAACGAACAACAATGTGTTTGATTGTCTTCGTCAACAGAACGAACACCAATGTGTTTGATTGTCTTCGTCAACAGAACACCAATCTGCTTGATTGTCCACGTCGACAGAACACCAATGAGCTTGATTGTCTTTGTCAACAGAACGGCAATGTGCTTAATTGGACATCGCCTTCTCAAGATATCACTCAAATTGATCACCTTTGGGATCAGTTGGACTGAAGAGTGTAAATCCTCGTCAGCAGCCTCAAACGTTTGACCAGTGGAGGATGGCCTTTCAGAAAGGATCCCAAGGGGGTCTTTAAACTGACTAATCGTTTCAATGCGACATCATTGTCAGGCTTTGGTAAACACCAGGGGTTCTTTTACGGGATATTAATTATGTTAACTTGATTGTGATGTTAACTGGGTAAACACTATTGAGATCGTTCCATGGACACCTTCAAATGAACTGATAAAACACATATTAAGATCGATTTTGACTGTATGAATTCACACCTTTTGGAATACATTAAAGAAATACTTTCAAAATAATAATGTTAGGTTTCCTCCAAAGGCCTGAAAATAAATCAAGTTAGCGTGGAAGTAAAATTGTTAAGACATATTTAACAGATCGTTAATACTCATGTTTAATTTGATTAGCAGCATTTTTTCTCGCAAGGCAAGTAGTGTATGTAGTTGTAACTCCTTCTTTCGTATTTATTATTCATACCGTGTCGTCCACAACGTAAATTTATGCTTCGGTTGATTAGCGTATGCGAAAAACTGTATAATTTCTCCTTCTATGTATTCCATTCAATAGCTTGATTGTCATTGTGTTTGTATCAATCTAGGTCGTTCACGTTAAGCGCTTTGCAGACAACAGATAGGGGCCACTCCTAAATGCTACAACCCACGCGTACATGTATACGTGTAGCAAGTCAATCGGGAAAGAAAACTATCACTCCGTACAACTACATAAGCAAAGTTAAAGGTAGTTTAAAGTGCCTTTGAGGTCAATAAAACCAAGGCAATTAAATCAATAATACGGGTGAGTCACATATAAGGTGCTCGATTCTGAATCCGACTTAAGAGACACTCTAGTAGATATTGAGTCTTCATGATAAGTTTCTGACGTCTTGCCTTGTAACATTAATTCGTAATGGTGCAGTAAACGAAAACGAAAATGAAAACATTTTGTAAATTAAAAGCTGTAAACAGTCCTAAATTTGCTTTCAGGTTTCCATTTCTTGAAGCGGTATCAACGGCATTGAACTCGTTTTTTAGAAAATCTTTATATTCAAAACTGTATGTTTGTTATATTCCTCATAGGCAGTACTTGTCTGATAACATATCATCAGTTCGTTTTCTATTAATTCTTTTTATAGTTAATAAACAGATTTGATCAAAAATGCTAACATACATATATTTATCAAACGTGTATTGCTGGCAGTGTATACATAGACAATGACTAACCGACCTCTCGTGTAAGATGTTTTTTGGATACTTACCATACTCTTTTTAATTAACGTCTTCTGGGTTGTAGGTCCTGCTGATTGTAGCGATGTCAACACAGATGTCCACTGTTCAGGTATTTACCGAATTACGCCGACACCGGGAGTCAGCTTCGACGTGTACTGTGACATGGACACAGCAAATGGACCCTGGACGGTGAGTAAACTTCATTAACATCCACCAAACCCATCATTAGCTGACCTGCTGTATAATATTGCCAGGTGGTAGGAACATGATACAACTTACAAACATTAGTCTGTCAAAACATTGTCGAAACACACACCTTCTTCTGATTAAACAGTATTTCAGTAATTTAAAAAAATTGACTAGAAACTCCCCTAAATGGTAGGTATTTCAATCTTTCCCGGAAACTTAGAACCGGTTTCAAAAAGATCATTTGACCATATTCACGAAGAACTCGAATGTTTAGAGGTATGACAACCATGTTTGGGTACATGGGGATTCAAAATGGTTCCAATGGATGCGCTGACTTCCAGAGGCTGGGTGTGGGATCGCAATGGGCAATTCGATCATACTGCTTAAAGGCATCAATCATGTTGAAAGTATTACAAGCAGATTGGGTTATGTTTGTATACCTCCCGCAACGACGTAAGATGGTATACCTACTGAAATCAGCTTGTCTGTCTGTTTGTTCGCATCTAAAGTTTGTCCGAACAACTCCTCCTAAAGTAATGGACAAATTACAACGAATGTTTCCAGATGCAATAACTACCACTTGATATTGTTCATCTAGGCTTTTTTCATGTTGCCCTTTTTAGCCAACAATCATCAGATAGTGGGCTATTCAAATCGCACTGCGTCCGTCCGTCATTCCGTCCGCCCTTATGAATAATTATTGCTTACGCTATTTCTCAGAAAGCACTTGAGGGGTCTTTGTCAAATCTCACATGAAGGTTCCCTATGGTCTTCAGTTATGCATATTCGTATTTTGGGACTGATCACAACATTAAGATGGCCGACACCCAGCCATCTTTAATTTGAGAGTTAAAGTGTATTAGTGCTGTTTATCAGAAAGGACAGAAGGGATCTTTCTCAAATTTCACATGAAGGTTCCACATGGTTATAAGCTAGTTCTGAATTCCAAATTTTGGGGATGATTGGTTGAGCATATTAACTTTTGAGGTTGATTAAGATATCATTCAGGTAAACTGATCAATCAGATAAGAGAAAAGAAGAGAAAAGATCAAACTGACATAGAAATGAATTAATGAAGATGGTACGATGGTGGGCGCCAAGATCCATCTGGGACCTCTTGTTCTACGAAGTTAGAGAGGGGGTCTCCAGATTGTTTTTAAACGACTTCTCCGGAAGAACTTTGGAAAACATATTTGACTGGAGGCATTATCATGCAGTTATAGTTGTGTGATTGCACATTATTACATGAAGTCTGCTGTGTGTACGATGAAAAACTGCGATAATAGCATCTGCACAACTATGCAATAGCTATCGCATTGCTGTTCAATAGTTATTTTGGTTGATTGATAATAAGGAATGGCCTGTAAATGAAGAATCCTTGTCTCACTGCACTGCCGTTTTGCCTATATACAGTTATCTCCCCTTAACTTCCGTTGTTTGGATATAACTGCAGCACATCTGGGCTTGTACACTGCCGTTTTTCAGGTTACTCAGTCGTTTCCAGCGATCTGAACAACGTGAAGTCCAGGGTTCGATTCCCTGTCTGAGCCCGCAGCAAATTTTAAACTCATAACACGTTTGTTGATTATGTTATGTGTTGATTATTTCATCTAAGTTATATTTTTATAAAAGTCCCACAAGGTATTCTTTCTTTTCAAAAATTGATTCTGAATGATTTTCAATATTTAAACTAAAATATTTCACGATTTAAGTTTGTTGCAATGTTTCAGCCATATATATATATATGTATATGTGTCTGAATATCTAACAGTAATAGACTTGATATAATTATTTAACCGTAATGAACTTGATTTAATTATCTAAAAGTAATGGGTTTGATATAATTATCTCATAGTAATGGGTTTGATAAAATTATCTAGCAGTAATGGACTCTATTGAACTATTTAACAGTAATGGACTTGATTGAATTATTTAACAGTAATGGACTTGATTTAATTAGCTAACAGTAATGGACTTTATTGAAATATTTAACGGTAATCGACTTGATATAATTATCTAACGGTAATGGACTTGATATCATTAATTAACAGTATTATACTTAATAGAATCATCTTACAGTCATAGACATATCAAGTATTTTACAAATTGTTTTGAAGCGACACGTGTGTGGATATACAAACGGGGTGTTCTCTGAGTGCCAACATATTTACCAACAATAGGCATGTGTTGTTTTATGAAACAATGGCAAGTCAATTATATACTGTTGCATATGAAGGTTGCATTTTCACCTAAATATTCACCTGATATTTACCTGTGTTCCATAACTACACACATTCTTAGATAACGTTTGCTTTGACATATTTGGTCAAATCATAAAATGTAACATCTTCTAAACACTGAAAAGTGTCTCCTTATATTCTAACGGGGAAAATACAGTGAAATATTCCTATGTCTGTGTTAAATATATAGTCCCTAACCATTCCTTTATTATCTAATTTTGCTTTCAAAGTAAGGATTACAAATGATTTAACTAATGTGTTAATTTCAAAAAACCTCAGAAACAAATTTGTGGCATAAGGGAACATGCATACGTGTATAAACGGAAACTGAAAATGTATGAAAACACTTGAAATTAAAACTTTAAACTTGTTCCATGAAGAGTTTCTGATCTCATTCAAGATGGCGAAGGATTTAGCGGCATCTGCACGGATTGACCTATATGATAGTTGAATAGATGAATAAGGGGAGTAAAGACCCGAGTCTAAATTCCATACATAAGAATGTATTCTGCCTGATAAACACAATGTTTAACTGTAATAGGCATATTGTGACGTTGTCGCTTTTTTGTCCTGATCTGACGTGATGTAATTTATCAAGATATTACAAAGGGTGGGAAGATATATCTTCCCTTTAGAACGTTCCTTAATGAGGGAAATTCCTTATCAGAAAATTATCTTATATGTATAGTAAAGCATACATAAATTGAGGATAAATTGTATGCTAATATTTGAAAAGAAACATCAGAAATGTCCTCAATATACTGAATAGTTCATGAGAGCATAGTCAATTCTCACCTGAAAGAGTTTTCAAACTCCCTAAAAAAAAAAATTTCATTTGAAGATTCCTTTTAAATTTCATTTTACCTGTTTATTTAATGAGCAATGAATACACATTGATATTGATGACAAACTTAATAAAGCCCGGCAGTGCGTTATGTAAGTTTGTCAGCAATAGAAATGTGTGTTATAGGACCATAACAATATTTGCTAAAATATTCATTACTTATATTTACGTTTTAATATAGTTACGCTTAATTTCGTTATTTCGAACAGTTCTTTGAACATCAAATGAGGTGTTGACAACAATAAAATTGATGACGTCACAAAAGAGATAGATGACTTGGAACAACATTTGCCTTCTCAATGCATTGCAATGGAAGGATGCAGAGCAAATGTAAATATATAATCATAATATCATTTTTCTCTAAAACCACATTGTTTCTACAAAAATAAATATTTTATCATTTATACGCCTGTAAGGTACTAATAAACACTTAGATTTTGTCCATAGGCAGATGACAAAAATATATACTAATTAGAGTGTTGTTAAATTTTGATTCATTGTGCTGTATAATTAAGTTATTCATCTTTTATTGAAAGATCAATTCATTTAAGTTATGTCAAATACTATATGGATCTGCTTCTAAATATACACTTTAGGAGAATCAAAAATTCAACAAAGTTTTATTTTTTAATATATGTGCTTGAGTTCCAACAGGTAAATGTTACAGTAGATTTACTTGTTGAAACTCAGATACTTTTTAAGACTATTATCCCTATCAAAACCCTCACAAACGTATGTATGCAGGTATTTTACACGCAGAGTGTGACTAGTTACCTTTTAATTACAAGGTTACAAGAACATATACATACTGTAACAGACACAACACAGAAACAAGTAATGTCCAGATCACCGATGAACTCTAATCGCCGATAAAGTCCAACTAATTTACTTACATTTCCAGGTAATACAAAACAGGCAAAATGGCGACGAGGAATTCTACAGACCTTGGGCTGACTATAAAACAGGCTTTGGTAACCTCCGTGGAAATTTCTGGCTGGGTATGTATCTTAACAAGTATTTTTGAATGAATATTTAATGACAACAAGATTATGTGACACTTTCTAAAATTATATTTACTCATTTCACCGATATTACATAAAATTGAAATATATACTTAATCATTATCTAATCTATTTTGAACAGGAAATGACGCAATTCACCACCTCACCTCCACAGAGTCCATTCTCCGTATTGAATTGGTCTCATGGCTAGGTGATGCTGCTTATGCCCAGTATTCAACGTTCAGAGTTGAAAACGAGACAGAAAATTACAGACTGAATATATCCGGGTTTTCTGGTAACGTCTCACGTATGTATATGAAGTATATTATTTACATTGAAACCTGCAAAACTTATCGTCAAATAACAATTCTGTATCTATTCTCTAAATGCTCAGTTACACGAAGTCGTCGCAATAATATCGAACTAATGACGTATGTACAGCATATACCTGGACTAATGATTATTATTAAACGCATCCATCTTTATTGTTGTTGATGTTGTTAGAGGCATCCACTCTAGTATCAATATATGTACCGATACAAAGCAATCAACATATGTTCCCCTTGCACGACATGCCATCGTATTGATTGTATACGGCGACTAAGGTTAGCTCTGTGCAGCTATTTTTTCGTTTTCTTTTGGTGAGGGCATAGTGCACACAAATGCGTATACTCAATTAATTATATCATGTATTTCTCAATTATATATTACATAACTTTGGTTTTCAGAAAATAGTATGGCCACTCACAACGGAATGTCATTCTCGACATACGACAGAGATAACGATCGTAACAGTCAGCACTGTGCCCAGAAATACAATGGCGGATGGTGGTATAACAGTTGTTACGACGCGAATCTAAACGGCGCTGTATACATGCCTGGCGAGGGTAACTTGAAATCGCTGGTCTGGGATTTCTTTTACCAAGATATAGATCGCTCTCATATGATGACGACAAGGATGCTTGTGAAACACTCATATTAACTGAAAGCGGTCATCTTGTTCTATTTGTTATTAGCTCACCGGGTCCGAAGGACCAAGGTGAGCTTATGCCATACCGTGGCGTCCGTCGTCCGTCCGTAAACAATTTCTTTAAACGACTTGTTCTTCTTAACCACTGATTGGAATTTAACTAAATTTGACGGGAAGCATCCCTAGGTGGTGGAAATTAAAAATTGTACAAATGGTGGGGCTGACCTCCTAGGGGGCTGAGGGGCGGGGCAAAAAGGGAACAATTTGGCTATATTGCTTTAAGCGACTTCTCTGGAACTTAAAAATGGATATCAACCATATTTGACTGGAAGCATCCCTAAGTGGTGGAGATTCAAAATTATACAAATGGTTGGGCTGACCCCCTAGGGGCCCGGGAAGGCGAGACCAAAAAGGGGTAATTTGGCAATATTTCTAAAAACGACTTCTTCAGTAGAACTATGCGCTGGATATCAATCATATTTAATAAAAAAAAAACATTAAGGAATGCAGGGATTCAAAATTGTACAAATGGTGGGGCTGACCCCCAGTGGGCTGAGGGTGGGGCCAAAAAAGGGCAATTTGGCTAAATTGCTATAAACGACTTCTTCTGTAGGACTATGCCATGGATATCGATCATATTGGTAGGAAGCATTCATGGGAGGCAGGGGTTCAAAATTGTACAAATGGTGGGACTGACCCCCCGGGCTAAGGGGTGGTGGCAAAACTAGTTTATTGCTTGGAAATGGTTGAGATCCCAACCATATAACCACATATACAATTGCTGGGTTTAAAGAGAAGAATTCACATTTGCTTCCAGTATGGCTCTAGGGTCTGGCCCCACCCTTGGAAACATAGTCCTTGTGCAATAACTTTAAAACGGTTGAGATCCCCATCCCAAAGCTATATATACAAATGCTGGGCATAAACAGACAAATGCAGTCACGATATTACAATAGACCCTGGGGTCAGTTGAGATCCCCACCCTATAACCATATAGATAATTGCTGAGTATAAAGGGATGAATGCACATATGCTTTCAGGATGACCTTGGGAAGTGTCCCTACCTTAGAGACTTATTGGGCATTGAGAATTGTTGGGCATAAAGAGACGAAAGCAGTCATGATATTATAATTGACCCCAGGGTTTGCCCGACCCTTGCATACTTAACCCCTGGGTCATAACTTTGAAACGGTTTAGATCTCCACCCCAAAACTATTGTGATATACAAAAGCTGGGCAAAAAGAGACAAATGCAGTCATGATATTAGAATTGATCCTTAGGTCTGGCCACAACCGTATGGACCTAGTTTCTGAGTCACAGCTTGGAAACATTTGAGATCATCAACCCAAAACCATACATAAAATTGCTGGGCATGAAAAATCGAATACAGATATGCTATAAGGATTGGCCTTGGGGTCTGGCATATTCCCATGGATCTCATTTTGAGAACATTTTTCCATGATTGCTGAGATATCCAGGTGAGCGATACAGGCCCTATGGGCATTTTGAATAAAAGTAAGCCTTTCGCTGGTTATATGAAATGGCCGTGTTTAATTATCCTGCTGGCTGTCTTCGGCAGTATGTTTCAGTGAGGTAGCACTATAAAGTCGGCATCAGTTTCGCGCTATCACAAGGAGACAAACACTATCGCAGCCTCCCAGAACACACACGCATACATCTTGCACACAGGAGAGGATCATAGCTGTCGATGGGACGTTAAACAATTCTAAATCAAGCCAAACCAATCATTGATTTCGCCATCTCAATTATTCGGGGTTTGATTCAGTATTCTTATCGAAATCGAAGTACCTATGCTGCACTGATTTTGATTTTGTGCTCTTCGGTTGACCCTGCGTTTTTCTAACTGAATTTTAAGAGATTGAAAAGAATATGATTTGCCAAATGGCAATCATATTAAATTTAATATTTTATTGAAAAAGATGGAAAATGACAAAGGAATCGGGCAAAAGCCACAGCCTATGTAAGCCTTTTCGATATAGATAATATACAGTTGGCAACACATGTAAAGATACTTATAATTTAATTACTATAAATGAAAGTAGCCAATTAATTAAGTGGTCAAAATATCTAAGGCTTATTTATCATTATTTTGAATGTGAGTTTTATTTTGAAATGAAAATTTAAAAAAACATGTATACATACAGTTGTGGGAAGACCCAACGTGAAACGGTGTGCGTTGTGCGCACGGTGTGTGCACGATGTGCGAACGATTAAAATCCGGACGATTATTGCCTGCGCACATATATTGAGAATTGGCTTGATAATATATACGGTTTCTTATTAAAATGTATAAACTTGCTTTTCTATTTGATACCTACATCTATAAGAAAATCGTTATATATACAGTTAAACATAGCCACTTTTTACATGTATCAGCTGAGGGCGAGCTGTAGATGTGTGGACGTTGTGCAGACGCTGTTCACGATGTGCGCATGCTATTTTGGTGCGATGTGCGGTCACACAACTGTGTATAAGAAATTTATTTCAAATCTTTGCATTAAATTAGTTATCTGTTCTCAATAGAAAATTCTAGACCAGCCGGATGGCACAGTTTGTTACACTTAGACCAAACTACAACTGCCTGGCAGATTAACCATTTCGAAAACACTTAACTATACTAAACTGTACTAGCCATATAAGGTTGGCATTTTTTGTATTATCCATTTCATATGTATTAAAAATATTCAGTAGATATGCATATCTGCTGAAGTATCAATAACGTAAGTTTGGATCTCAAGACCCCACTCCAAAACTGTAATACACTATCATCATTATGACAATGTAGTAATATTTAGAAAGTTTCCATTGATGTAACAAACTTTTTTCATATTAGTGTAGAAACCAGATCACAACTTTAATTCAGGAAATCCTCTAGTGGTTTTAATATATAACATGAACAAGAACAGTTTTGATTGTCTTCTGATACTATTGGTTTGTGGGTTTTTTTCATTCTTAACATGCAAACCATCTTTCCGGATATTCGAATATCTTGTTTGCAACTCCCTCGATTATGGTACTTATATGAATAGAGACAATCGTAGTAGTTATTATTCTGATATTTGTAATGTCCAAAGCCGTGTTGCTTACTCGGGAAACCTTTGACCCGATGTCATGTATTAAAACACTGTTTTCACTAGATGATTGCCTATCAACTTCCTTCCTTTATGATTGAAGGAAAATGACGAGATTTCAAAATGTCTACATTAATATGTGCACAGAAGAAATGCCTAAGGTATTTTTTCAATTGTTAATCAACAATATCTGATGTCAAATGTGAAAAGAGAAAGCACCAAAATATCTCCTGTCCGATTGGTGTATATATATTGGTGATCTTAAAAAAGCGCCGCTACGTAAAAATCTATGCGAGACAAAACGCGGATATGTTTATCTGCCTCTTTGGTGTTTCCTTTTTTGCTTTGTTAATTCAAAAGGATGATCGCCCCACTCGGGTAATATAACATGCTGATCAATCTTAACTTAAAAACGATTAAAAATCTCATATTCGGAGGCGTGTCCTTAAATGACCTTGATAGGACGTTTAACAATAACTATAGTTATATCAGATTATACTTATATATAATATTTCAAGTAGATTTTTATCACGAAATGCTCCCTAAAAAAATCCTCTGAATTGCTGAAGATAGTCGATAAATGTCTACTGATATCTGTAGGATGACAAGAAGGTGTGTTGCGTACACCCAGGATCAAGGTCATATTCATTATCCGGGCTATAATTCCACTCTCACCGATGATATATCGTTGAAATTTGGAATATATTTAGGATTGCAAGGCGGTATGTCGCAAACCATAATTGGGTCTGTATCCCACAGATCATGGTCACATTAAGTTTATAGGTTCAATACATTGTCTGGGACGTTCTTAAAAAACCCTAGCTGTTAATGGGACGTCAAACAATATAAAACCAAACTAACATTGTCTGAGACATAACTTCTTACCTACTGAAGATAATATAACTCAATGGAAATTCTGTGATATATGATGGAAAAGTGGTATGTCACATATGACCTAAGGGTCTGTACTGCCAAGGCCCAGATTACACCGAGGTCATCGGTGACCTTTTCGAGAAGCATAATCCAACAGTTGTACTTATTTTCTTGTTTGTATATATATGATATATAGTCTTAACTAAATGTTCACTGTTAACATTGTTTGAACTATATTATAAATTGTACATGCTCTAATTAAAATTATAATCCTATTTGAGAATGACAAACCTCGTTGTATGTTTCCATTTTTTTATCTCATAATGTTGAAAATAAATGTTTTGCTAGATTGTGTACATTTTAATGTTTTTACACGAAGTACAATAACTAGTCTGTATTTTCATATATTGCTTGAAATTGTAGCATAACCTAAATTAGTTGGAACATTATCACGTTATTTATCACATGATGCATTTTATAAAACCTGTATTGGGTTTTTGACCTTACATTAATGTGTCAGAAACTGTCAAAGCTTTTTGAATAACCAGAGTCACAGAATGATTTTTTTGGCAACCAATGTATCAGGTAGTATGGCTACCTGTTTCGTTACAATGAATTACCTTGACCTACTTTCAATGTCAAAATTGCCTACTTTGAAAATGTTTAAACATCATTCATTTGAAATTGGAAAATTAGTATGAAATTAATGCCAGGTAAGCGATTTAGCCGCATAGGGTCTCTTTTAAGATAATGCTCTTTATTAAACTTTAATGCAAACTATCATGTACATAATTTGAATTTTACACCATACATTACTTTATCTTTTGAACCTATCTAAGATTGTTTGATCTTTAGAACATGATGTACATTGTTTTTTCTTCATTTAATAGTTGACATTGTTTCATCTTTAGAACATTTTTCATATTGTTTTATCTATAGAACATCGTGTACTTTGATACTTTGATAATTAGGAGATAACCCTATTGTATTTCGAATTTCGTGGCGGTCCTCGACGCCAATAAAACGAAAATATTTGCGACAGTATGATCACGATATACCGCCGAAATATTGTAATTAATATAAGCCATAACCACCAATCGAAAAGAAGGTTTTTAGATACTTTTG